ATCGACAAGCTCAGCGTCTTGGCCACTGAGCCACCGCGTCCCTAAGTGTGGCCTTATAAAGTGGCATTAACACTTCACGTGATCTTGATTCTATCCCTCTCAGTTTATGCAGCATAACTCTGTGTTGGCTTTTTTGGCTGCTCCTGCACAAGGCTGGCTCATCTTTAGATGGTTTTAGCTAGTGTGTATCTGTACTTTTTATTCTTCTTGCTTAAATGCAGGATGCATTTTAAATGCAAGATGCACTTTCTCGCTTAAATGCAAAGCCTTCCTTTTTTTCTACATTCAATGTCATTTTAACTGCCAAGAGTCCCTTGGGAGTTGGGCCACGTAGAAATATGATTAATTAAATTAAATTAAATTAAATTTTGTTGGACGGGGGACCAGTGTTCCAATCTGTCGAGATCCATCTTTAATCGGCATTCCTAGTTTTTAATTTGATTCCTAGTTTTCCTGCTAGAAACAGCAACAGGTTTTTTCCTTCCTGGATGCCAAGTTCTATCTTTCTGCAACCTGGGTGGAAAAGAGATATGCGAGGCATCTGAAATGCTTATCTTGAACCCAGAACCAGCTTGCATGGAAAAACCCACCCACCCACCCACTCATGCAAGTCCACTTAGGCATAGTAGGCACATAGTTTGCAAGGGGAAAGCACCCAAGATGGGAGACACGATTTTATTTTCCCTATTTATTAAATTTATATCCACAGCGATATAAATTTAATCCGGGCGGCTTGCCATGCAATCGAAATAGATGTGTTAAAAACGATGAATATGGGAACGGTTAAAATTACGAGAGTTAAATAAACTATGCAGATGGTTTTGCTGTTCAGGTAGTCCTCGACGTACCACAAATGAGCCCAAAAATTTCTGTTGTTAAGCGAGACTCTTGTTAAGTGAGTTTTGCCCCATTTTACAACTTTTCTTGCCACCGTTGTTGAGTGAATCACTGCAGTTATTAAATTAGCCAACATGGTTGTTAAGTGAATCTGGTTCCCCCATTGACTTTGATGGTCGCAAAAGGGGATCACATGACCCCGGGATGCTACGACTGTCGTAAATTTGAGTCAGTGGCCAAGTATCCAAATTTTGATCACAGAGGGCCATGGGGATACCGCAATGGTTGTAAGTCTAAAAAACAGCCCTCTTTTGAAAGTTTGAGAGTTTCTGGGGGAGGGAAAGTAAATAAATACGGGGGCACTTGGTCAGCCTGAATCTGCCACTTTGGTTCTTAGCGACAGAACCTGGTTTAAGATCCAGGAAGAGAAACTGTCGTTGTTGTGGGCGAGACGGAGGAAACAGAGTTCTGAAGTAGAACTAGATGAGGAAACGAAAGAACTTTTCGGGGGTGACGCTTTTGATCGATCACGCCTGAAGATGGGAGGGCTGGTAGAGGGAACGTGGGGGTGCTAACATTTATTTATTTATTAGATTGTTATCCTGACTTTGTTACCTTTATAAGTGGCTCAAGAAGGTGAAGATACCCAATACTCCTTCCTCCTCCTCCTTCCTACTCCTTTGCTCCCACGAGTGGGCTGGGCTAAAAGAGAGGGATAGGGCCAAAGTCACCCAGCTGGGTTTCATACCTAAGGCAGGACTAGAACTCACTGTCTCCTGGTGATTGGCCCAGAGTCACCCAGCCAGCTTTCAAGCCAAAGACAGAACTAGAACTCACCGTCTCCTGGTGATTGGCCCAAAGTCACCCAGCCAGCTTTCAAGCCAAAGACAGAACTAGAACTCACCGTCTCCTGGTGATTGGCCCAAAGTCACCCACTTCTGGTGTCGCCTGTTCTTCTTTTGGGTTTCTGGCGCACATGTGTGCATGACAATCAGCTGGCCAGTGCACATGCTCACCAGTGGTTGGTTGCCCCCGGTTCGGAGGCGGGGGAGGCTCGGCTCACTGACCCCGACGTCATCGGGAAGCTTCTGCGCGCAACCACATTGCGAACCGGTAGTAACGGTAAGTAGAACCCACCCCTGATGCTCACACGGGAAAATGGAAGACCAGCTTTTCCCGTTTCCAGAAGTGCCACACACAAAAAGGGCAGCTGATCGTCGTGCCAGAAACCCGGAAGAGGAATGAGCGATGCCGCGCGTGCCAGGCAACATGGCTCCGCGTGCCACTTTGGGCACGTGTGCCATAGGTTTGCCATCACGGTTATAGGGTTTTTCTACTCGAGCAGGGGGTCGGGACTCCCTATACTTGGAAGGGACCTCCAAAAGTCCCTTCCAAGTATATGATTCTATATTCGATTTGGAGAAATAAGGAAAAATGAGAGTGAGAATTATCCAGAGGAAGAGTTTGCCTCCAGAAATTGTGGGTGCTCCACAGTGGTGGGTTTCAAATTGTTTTACTACCGGTTCTGTGGGCGTGGCTTGGTGGGCGTGGCAGGGGAAGGATACTGTAAAATCTCCATTCCCTCCCGATCAGCTGGGACTCGGGAGGCCGAGAATAGATGGGGCCAGTCAGAATTTTTACTACCGGTTCTCCGAACTACTCAAAATTTCCGCTGCCGGTTCGCCAGAACTGGTCAGAACCTGCTGAAACAAACCTCTGGTGCTCCATCACTGGAGGTGCCTATGGAGATTCTCAATCATCCAAGTTATGGTTGTCCCAAAGGTGCTTTTTTCAAACGGCAACTGGACTTTCTGGTTTTCTCAAAAACCTCCATCCCTGGAGGTTTTCAAGAAGATATTGGACAGCCATCTGTCTAGAAGGGTATAGGGCAGAGGTCTTCAAACTTGGCAGCTGGCTGGAGAATTCTGGGAGTTGAAGTCCACAAGTCTTAAAGCTGCCAAGTTTGAGGACCCCCTGGTATAGGGTTTCCTGCTTGAGCAGGAGGTAGACTAGAAGACCTCCAAGGTCCCTTCCGGCTCGGTTATTTTGTTATTCCGATGATGACCAAGGAATAACCAAGGTTGCCACTTCGACTGTGAAGTAGGCAGATGACCGAGAGAAATAATGAGCGATCAGCAAGAAAGAAAACCCAAGTATTTTGGGGCATGAAACTAAAGAGAAAGGGGAAGTGATCGGAAGTGCTCCCCGAATCTGTGAAGTTGTTGAGTTACATGCATAAAAGGGAAAGTTTCAGGTTTCGTTATGACCGAATGGGCTAAAATATATGTCAGGAAGGAAGGAATTGGTGACAGCTAAGTGGCTGAGAATGAAGCCACAGGTTGGTGAATGTCCCACGTTACACTCCAGGTGGAAATTGCGGAAGAATCCAAGATCTGAGGGAACCCAGTTCCCGAGAAAAGATTTGAACGGAGAAAGAGGAACATAAAAGCATTAAGTCACTTATATTTATAACTCTGTGAAAATAGCTACATACCCCTCACATCCTGAACATAAATTGTCTCAACTCCTACCCTCAAAACGACGTTATAGGGCATTGCACACCAGAACAACTAGACACAAGAACAGTTTTCTCCCTAACGCCATCACTCTGCTAAACAACTAATTCCCTCAACACTGTCAAACTATTTACTAGACTGTATCACTATTCTTCTTCTCATCCTTCCTATTACCGATCTCCTTTTCTCCTTATGACTATAACCTTGTTGCTGGTATCTTTACAATTTATATTGTTTTATTTAGTTTCCCAGTATGACTTTGATTGCTTATTGAGTATCCTCTGACTATCATTTAAGTGTTGTACCTTATGATTCTTGATAAATGTATTTTTTATGTACACTGAGAGCTTATGCACCGAAGACAAATTCCTTGTGTGTCCAATCACACTTGGCCAATATTCTATTCTATTCTATTCTATTCTATTCTATTCTATTCTATTCTATTCTATTCTATTCCCTATTCCCTATTCCCTATTCTGCAACCCAACAAGACAGAGACTTCAGAGGATCATTAGAACAGCAGAAAAAACCATGGCTACCAACCTGCCTTCCATGGAGGACCTGTATACTGCACTAGTCAAAAAGGGGGCTGGGAAAATATTGACAGACCCCTCGCATCCTGGACATCAACTGTTTCAACTCCTACCCTCAAAATGACGCTGTAGGGCACTGCACACCAGAACAACTAGACACAAGGACAGTTTTTTCCCAAACGCCACCACTCTGCTAAACAAATAATTCCCTCAACACTCTCAAACTATTCACTGTCTGCACTACTATTAATCTCATCGGTCCCATCACCCTTCTCCTCCCACTTATGACTGTATGAGTAACTTTGTTGCTTGTATCCTGATTGCTTATTTGTACCCTATGACTATCATTAAGTGTTGTACTTTATGATTCTTGATGAAGGTATCTTTTATGTATACAGAGAGCGTATGCACCAAGACAAATTCCTTGTGTGTCCAATCACACTTGGCCAATAAAAAATCTTATCCTACCCTACGCTATCCTATTCTATCCTATCCTTCTCCTGTTGTCCATTTGTCTCCCAGCCCCCCATCCTCTCTCAGGGGAGGGGTCCCGGGCCCACCATCTGCTGGGGTCTGACCCCCAGACTGGGAGCAGTTTGAGGATTTGTTACAGTTCCCTAATATTTTTTTTAAAAATGGCCCCCTTGAGGGCATCAGGACACCCTTGCACAGATGGAGGGAATCACACCAGGCCATGTAATCTACACAAGGGCGTCAGGGCACATACAGAGCCACTGCACCCAACAGTCACCCAACACACCCACCACACCACAACAGAGTCTGGGCTAGAGGATCTCACAACGCCCCTTTCTCAAAACAGCTGTTTGTTCACACTACGATGACGGGATGAACTACGCAACGATCGATCACACCAAAGTGTGAGTTGTGATTGCAAAACCCCTCCCCCTCACCAACTACGCAGCCCCTCCCCCTCCCCTCCGCGCCGCTGCCACGGCGGCAACTGCTGGGCCGTGGCCGGCGAGCTCCCTTTTATAGTCCGCTGCGGGGAGGGGCGGGACCGTTGGAAGTCCGGCAGCCAATCGGAAGGGCTTCGCTGACGTCGGCGCTCGCCGGGCCGCCATCACGTGGTCGCTGGGCGCCGCCGCGGCGCATGCGCGGCTCCTCCCCCTTCTCCTCCGTCGTCTGCTCCCGGCGAGGTTTCGCCGCCGCTTCTCTCTGACGTTGCCGCGGACGGTAAGCGGGACCGGGGTGGGGGGTGGGGTGGGACGGCTGGATGTGGGGTGGCTTCGGCTTCGTTGAGGCGGGGAGGGGCTCCTCCAAACAGCCCGCTCGGGGTGGGTGGGTGGGTGGGTGGGGGACTACACATCCCATGCTCCCCAGCCGCGCCTGGCCGAGGCACATGGGCATTGTAGTCCCCCCCATTTTTTAACCCCCCCTTCCCCTCCTCTTCCCAGGCCGCTCGGGCAGCGCCTCCCTCGGCCAACTCACCAGCCTGGCCGGGTTCCAGCTGCGAAGGACTCGGGACTCCCGTCCCCATCATCCCCAGCGGGGTAGGGTGGGGTGGGGCGGGAGTCCTCCCCCTGTTTGGGAAGAGCCGCTTGGAAAGGGAGGCACAAGGGTGGGGGACCCAGAAGAGGGAGCCGGTTTGGGGGGGGTGAGGGGTGGGGGTCGAGAGGGGGCCCCCCCCCCCCCCCCATTTGGGGGGGGTCTGCGAGGGGGGGAGCTGATCTCCCTTGGCGGGGGTCTCCTTTGGGTCCGCTCAAGGTCGTGGGGGGGGTGTCCTGAAGAGAGGGTCACCTTTGGGTGCCCAGTCTAGCAGCTGGAGGGGTCACATCTGGGGGTCTCCGGGGGGGGGAAAGGGGGCATGGCAGGAAGGGAGAGGAGAGGGGGGGGGTCCCAGGAAGCCTGCTGACCCCTGAATCCCAGGACAGCCTTAATTAACCCTCTTGTGGGGGGGGGAGGGGGCTCAAAGTTGAGGGTCCCGGACAGCCTCTTGCATCCTCTGCAGCTGTGAGCAGCCAAGATCTGACGTTGTCCCCTTTGGGGGGGGGTCTGCCTTTGCCCCAGGAGGAGGTTGGACCGTTTTTGGGGTGGGGGTCCCTGATCTCTCCCCAGAGGGGGGGCCCATGCATGGATTCCCTCCCCCCTCCCCTCCCCATGGTCAGCCAGAACCAGCTTTGCCTCCCTTGTTCTGGGTGCAGAGCTTGTATTTTACACATATGTCTTTGTGTAGGTCAGGGGGGGGTCCCCCAAAATTGGCCCCTTTAAAGCTTCTGGACTTCAACTCCCAGAATTCCCCAGCAAGCCATGTTGGCTTGATTGTCCCTGCGGTCAGCCAGGACTGGCTTGTGTCCAGTTTGTTCTGGGCGAAGAGCTTCTGTTAACAGCTGTGTGTTGGTGTAGGTCAGAGGTCTCAAAAATTGACAACTTTAAGGCTTCTGGACTTCAATTCCCAGAATTCCCCAGCAAGCCATTTGGCTTGATTGTCCCTGCGGTCAGCCAGGACTGGCTTGTGTCCAGTGGTTCTGGGCGAAGAGCTTCTGTTCGACAGCTGTGTGTTGGTGTAGGTCAGGGGGGTCTCCAAACTTGGCCACTTTAAGGCTTGTGGACTTCAACTCCCAGAATTCCCTAGCTGGCTGAGGGAATTCTGGGAGTTGAAGTCCAGAAGCTTTAAAATGGCCAAGTTTGGAGATCCTTGTGTAAGTCATTGAGGTCTAGGCTCACCAGGTAGGGGCCTTTCCCTAGCTGGACTCACCTGGTTCCACCTTCCCAGCCTGGTTAGTAGAGTCTCACCACGAAAAAGAAACTAAAGTGGTTATTATATACAGGTAGTCCTCGACGTATGACCAGAATGGTCACACAGCTGCTAAGTGAGCTTTGCAAGATTTTTACAAACTTTCTCGCCGCGGCTGTTAAGTGAATCGCTGCAGCTGTTCAGTTAGCAACACGGTTGTTAAGTGAATCCAGCTTCCCCCTTGATTTTGCTTGACCGCAGGACACTGCGAACCGTCATAAATATGAGTCAGTTGCCAAGCGTCTGAATTTTAATCGTGTGACCGTCGGCTGCTGCAACGGTCGTTAAGTGTGAGAAACGCTTATCGATCACTTTTTTTCCCCCAATGCCATGCAAATGGTCACTAAACAAGGACTACCTGTATATTTGGGCATACGGACTGAATTTTCAGCTCTTCCTCGACTGTCGTCCTTTGCCACCTCTTGAGGAAGTAAAGATTAATTCCTTATCTTGTCCGTTCCCAGTTTGTGTCTCTTGTTAATGAATGAACAAAACTTGATTGCCGGGTCCATGGAACGAATGCCAGGTTTAATGGTGGCTTAGTTCCGGGGAATTGTCAGCCAGTGACTGGGTGCCAGTAACTATAATAAAAATCCAATTGTGTTTAAATCACCAGCGTGGAAACTTTGCTGAGTTGATTACACTTTTAGGAGCAAGAATGGTGCGCTCTGTTGGTTATATTTTTAATATTTATTTATTTATTTATTTATTGTTTGTTTGTTAGTTAGTTCGATTTATATGCCGCCCTTCTCCGGAGACTCAGGGCGGCTTACAATACATTAAGCAATATTATTTATGTGTTTGTTTATTTTTATTCTATTCTATTCTTTTCTTTTCTTTTGTTTTATTATTTTATATTTTATATTTTTATATTTTATTTTTTTTATATTTTTATATATATATATATTTTATATTTTATATTATTTTTTAAATTTATTTGTTTTTCATGACTTTGGTGGTGGTTTCTGCGTTGCTTTTTGCATTTTTAATTTCGGCACTGGCCCAGAGTTGTCGTAGGTAGTGAGATGGGTGTTTGTGCAGGTAGTCCTCGACTTACGACAGTCCGTTTAATGACCGTTTGAAGTTTCAACGGCACTGAAAATAGCGACTTAAGGCCATTTTCCACGTTGATGACCGTTGTATCATCCACGGGGGTGGGGTGGGGGTGTGTGTCACGTGATTATTATTCAAATTCCTGGCAACTGACTTGTATTTATGAGGGTGCAGCGTCCCTGAGGTCACGTGATCCGCTTTTGCGACCTTCTGGCAGACAAAGTTAATAGGGAAGCCGGATTCACTTAACAACCATAATTTTACAACCGCAGTGATTCACTTAACAACCGTGGCAAGAAAGGTCGCAAAATGGGACAAAACTCACTGAACAAATGTTTTCCCTTAGCAAGCTAAATTCTGGGCTCCGCTGTGGTCGTAAGTCGAGGACTACCTGCGTTAAACCAACTGAGTCCAATATATTGGGTGGAAACCAGGACCTTGGCTTAAGGACAGGGGTGGGCAACTGTGGCCCTTTTACAACCTGTGGACTTCAACTCCCAGAATTCCTGAGACAGCCAAACTTGGCTGTCTCAGGAATTCTGGGAGTTGAAGTCCACAGGTTGTAAAAGGGCCACAGTTGCCCACCCCTGCTGTAGGATCATATCAACCCCTTCTGGAACCCGGGTGCTGTTCCAGGGACGAGCTGCCACCCCCCGACCTACGTCGATGGTGCAACTGAATTTGTGATCCCAAAAATAGCACAACGTGGAACGACACCAATCCACGGTCCTCCTTGTTTCGGAAAGATTTGTGACGTTTGCCGTCACAATTTGGAATTTATGGGCACCAAAATGTCAATCCCACCCCCACCCCCAAGGTTCTTTTGGCTGTGTGTGTGTGTGTGTGTGTGTGTATCTGTGTGTGTCCTGAAAAGGTGGTGGAAATATAAGTTGGCTTCTGTGCAAAGAGATCCATGGAGAAATCTGAAAAGGATCAGAGAGAGTTTATAAATAGATCACTAGGCTGGGAATGCAAGCAGCGTGGTCAGGAACGGGGGAAATGCGTGTAAGCTCTTGGATAATACAGGCGGTCCTCCACTTACGTCAGTTCACTTAGTGACCGGAGTTAGAACACGCTGAAAAAAAGGTGACTTAGGACCGTTTTTCACACTTAACGACCGTTGCAAGCATCCTCACGGTTCTGTGATTTACATTTGGATGTTTGACAGCTGTCTCACATTTACGACAGTCGCTGTGTTCCGTGGGGTGGGTGGGGTATGTTAAGCCAAATTCGCTTAACAACCGTGTTAGCAACCTAACAATGGCAGCGATTCATTTAACAGCTGTGGCAGGAAAGATCACGAGCAGCTGAGGAATTCTGGGAGTTGAAGTCCATGGGTCTTAAAGGGGCCACGTTTGGAGACACCCCCCCCCCCCTTTGCCCTAGGAGAAGACCACCTGGGCAAGTCCCACTGCTGTCAAAACTCGGAGCTGTTCACGCCCAGGGTTTCCATGAATTAGTTTGACCCTTTTTTGAAGCCCACCAAGCAAGTAGCCAACAACGCAGCTCATGGTAGGGGATCCCATCGTTTGAATGATTTAGGTCTGGGGTGTCCAATTTTAGCTACTTTAAGACCTGTGGACTTCAACTCCCAGAATTCCCCAGCCAGCCTGCTTTAAGATGGGTGGATTCTGGGAGTTGAAGTCTCCATATCTTAAAGGTTGATGTAGATCAGGAATATCCAACCTTGGCGACTTTAAGACCTGTGGACTTCAACTCCCAGAATTCTCCAGCCGGCCTGTTTTAAGATGGTGGATTCTGGGAGTTGAAGTCTCCATATCTGAAAGGTTGATGTAGATCAGGAATATCCAACCTTGGCAACTTTAAGACCTGTGGACTTCAACTCCCAGAATTCCCCAGCCAGCCTTGCTGGCTGGGGAATTCTGGGAGTTGAAGTCCACAAGTCTTAAAAGTGGCCCAGGATGGACACTCCAACTTAGATGTTGTCCTGCTTCTTCCAGGTTTCAATATCACCAGGTGACCTTCAGTTCTGGTCTCTGGGGAAGGTGGTCACCATCTCCTTGCCCACTTGAGCCACACCATTCGTGGTCCCACGAATCTATAACTCTTCGTTTCCTCTCCTTGAACCCCACAGGGCCTCAGCCATGGTGTTGGGCGTTCAGCAAGTGGTCGGGTACCTGGCTCTGTGGGCCTTCTGCGCTCAGAGCAAGCCCACGGAGAAGAAGGACCGCGTCCACCACGATGCTCAGCTGAGCGACAAGGTCCACGATGACGGCCAGAACTTTGATTACGACCACGACGCCTTCCTGGGGGTTGATGATGCCAAGACTTTTGACCAGCTGACCCCAGAGGAGAGCAAAGAGAGATTGGGGTAAGATAAGAGAACCTTGAACATGCGCAGAGTTTAAACTGAGTTTAAACTGAGTTTAGCCCCGGAATGGCAGCGTCTTGATGTTCCCTTTAGTCTTTAGTTTCCAGAATGACATTCCAGGTGGGTGTTTGGCTCTCATAGAAGGCAGTTTCCTATTAAAAAAACCCCCAAAAACTCGGTAGTTCTCGACTTACGACCATTTATTTCGTGACAGAAGATACAACGGCAATGAAAAAAAGCGACTTATGACCGTTTTTCTCACTTAACGACCATTGCAGCCTTCACAGTCACGTGATCAAAATTCAGATGCTTGGTGTCTCATATTTATGACAGTCGCAGAGTCCCAGGGTCGCGTGATCCTATTTTGCGACCTTGGGACAAGCAAAGGCAGTTGGGAAGCCCGATTCACTTAACAACGGTGTTGCTAACTGAACAACTGCAGGGATTTTTTTACCTCACGACTGTTGCGAGCAAGGTCGTAAAATGGAGCAGGATTCCCTTACCAATTGTCTCGCTTCGGAAAAAGAAGTGTTGGGCTCCGTTGTGGTCGTAAGCCGAGGACTTTCTTGTGGTCGCTCAGCCCTGAGCAAATTAAGTGCCATTCATGGCTTGTCGTGAAGGAGGAGGCACAATCCGTTCTCCAAAACTTTGATTCTTTCCAGCTCCTTTATTATCCTTGCTGTTTTTTTTAAGCCTGGATTCTTAATTCTGCCTCTTGTTTTCTCAAAGGGAGAAATTAAATTTCCTGAATTAAACTGGTTTTTCCCTCCAGTGAATATGCATAGCCCGGATCTCAGTTTCTTAGAAACCTGGACAGCTCATTTGTTAGTTTGCTGACTCACACGTAAACTAGTCTAGAGAAAAGAAGGACCAGGGGAGACAGGATAGCAGTCTTCCAATATCTCAGGGGCTGCCACAAAGAAGAGGGAGTCAAGCTATTCTCCAAAGCCCCTGAAGGCAGGACAAGAAGCAACGGATGGAAACGAACCAAGGAGAGAAGCCACTTGGAATTAAGGAGAAACTTCCTAACAATGAGAACAATTAACCAATGGAACAGCTGGCCACCAGAAATTATATAGGCTTCATCACTGGAGGTTTTTAAAAACAGACTGGACAGCCACTTCTCTGAAATGGTAAGGGGGTCCTGCTTGAGCAGGAGTTGGACTAGAAGGCCTCCAAGGTCCCTCCCAGCTCTATTCTGATTGATATAATAATAATAATAATAATAATAATAATAATAATAATAATAATAATAATAATATAACCAATGATTAAGGAAGTAAATAAAGGAGGCCTTTTAAAGACAACTAAAACAAAAGCAGAATATAAGAAAGAAGTAATTGAGCAGCGAGCTGAAAATTGGAAAAGCAAAGCTCTGCATGGCCAATACTTGAAAAGTATTGAAGGCAAAGCTGACCAGAAACTAACTTGGAACTGGTTAAGATCAGGAGTACTGAAAAAAGAAACAGAAAGCTTTATTTTGGCAGCTCAAGAACAAGCCCTAGCCACAAACTGCATGAAGGCAAAGATTCAACATGTTACCACCAACAGCAAATGCCGCCTCTGCAATGAGAAAGGTGAGACAGTCGACCACCTGATCAGTGGGTGCAGCAAAATTTCACAAACCGACTACCTACAACGCCATGACCGCGTTGCTAAAATCATTCACTGGAAATTGTGCCAGAAGTTTGGATTTGAGTACAGCAAAAACCACTGGGAACATCAGGTTGAGAAAGTTTTAGAGAATGAGAAACTCAAGATCTTGTGGGACTTTAGGATTCAGACTGACAGGCACTTGGTCCACAACACACCTGACATAACAATAGTTGAAAAGAAAAAAGTATGGTTCATTGACATTGCAATACCTGGTGATGCACGGATTGAAGATAAGCAGCAAGAAAAAATCACAAAGTACCGGGACTTACAAATTGAAGTTGAGCGACTGTGGAAAAAGAAATCGTGTGTTGTCCCGATTGTTAATTGGAGCCCTCGGAGCAATACCCAATTTAGAAATTCTAAATTTGCCGGACTTGAACATTTTGACTCTACAAAAAACCACCTTACTCGGAACAGCTTACATCCTCCGACGATACCTTAACAGTTCCTAGGTCCTTGGTTAGGACTCGAGCTGCTGAACTATTAACCAGCCTCAAAGGCTGTGAATCTCACCAAAGATTAACTAATAATAATAATAATAATAATAATAATAATAATAATAATAATAAGCCAGCTGAGAGGAAGAGGCAGGTGCTTTCTTCATCTTGATCTGAGCACACTTAAGGAGGGGCTTGGTATGCACTCTGGGGAGATAACCAATATATTAATTAATGTCCATTAAACACAGTGTGGACAGTCTCTTTGGATTTATTGCATCAGCTCCTGAGAGGCCCAGAACAGAGCAAGGAGTTGGCTAAGGCTCTCCCCCCCCCCTTCTCTCTGCCCAAGTGTCAAATCACAGGAGTGACATCTGTGGTTATATTTGGCTCTGAACGCCCGATGCTTCTGCTGTTCCAGACTTTCGGAGTGGGGGTGGGGTGGAGAGAAAGAGAACCATGGGCTTTGGAGTCTGCTCTTACCGGCAGCTTTTTTTTCAAATTGATCCCCCAGGACATTTGAGAAGGAAATTCTCTGTGGATCGGAGTTTCTACTTTTGGGTTGAACTACAATTGATGGATTGATAGGTATGTTGAGTGGACAGATAGATTGGTAGAGATGATAGATAGATGAGGAATTCTGGGAATTGAAGTCCACTCACTCGAAACCAGACTGAAGAATCCTGGGAGCTGAAGTCCACCTCTCAAACCAGACTGAGGAATTCTGGGAGTTGAAGTCTACTCACCTTAAACCAGACTGAAGAATCCTGGGAGCTGAAGTCCACCTCTCAAACCAGACTGAGGAATTCTGGGAGTTGAAGTCTACTCACCTTAAACCAGACTGAAGAATCCTGGGAGCTGAAGTCCACCTCTCAAACCAGACTGAGGAATTCTGGGAGTTGAAGTCTACTCACCTTAAACCAGACTGAGGAATTCTGGGAATTGAAGTCCACTCACTCGAAACCAGACTGAAGAATCCTGGGAGCTGAAGTCCACCTCTCAAACCAGACTGAGGAATTCTGGGAGTTGAAGTCTACTCACCTTAAACCAGACTGAGGAATTCTGGGAGTTGAAGTCCGCCCCTCTTAAAGCAGACTGAGGAATTCTGGGAGTTGAAGTCTACTCACCTTAAACCAGACTGAGGAATTCTGGGAAATGACGTCCACTCACCTTAAACCAGACTGAGGGATTCTGGGAAATGAAGTCTACTCACTCTAAACCAGACTGAAGAATCCTGGGAGTTGAAGTCCACCCCTCTTAAACCAGACTGAGGAATCCTGGAAGTTGAAGTCCATTCACCTTAAACCAGACTGAGGAATTCTGGGAAATGAAGTCCACTCACTTTAAACCAGACTGAAGAATCTTGGGAGGTGAATTCCACCTTAAAGCTGTCATTGACGTTGCTGGATCATAACAAAGTGGACTTTTTGGGGTCTGGTCTTCTGGTCCCTCGCCCCTTCCCCCCCTCCCCCCTCCATCTCTCTCTCTCTCTCCCCCCTCCCTCCCCGAGCCCCTGCCTCCTCCTGCTCTTACTTCTTTTTCTGCCTCCCCCCCACAGAAAAATTGTAAGTAAAATAGATGGCGACAAGGATGGGTTTGTAACGGTGGAGGAGCTCAAGGCCTGGATTAAGTTTGCCCAAAAGCGCTGGATTTACGAGGACGTGGAGCGCCAGCGGAAGGGCCACGACCTCAACGGGGACGGCCTGATTTCGTGGGAGGAGTATAAGAACGCCACCTACGGCTACGTCTTAGGTAGGTCGGGCCCTGTAGCCCCGCTAGCCCACTCCCCAAGGCTCAACCTTGCCCCCCCTCCCCCATTTTGTCTTGTAGCGCGATTGTGAGCAAAATAGACACGGATAAGGATGGGTTTGTGACGGAGGGGGAGCTGAAGGACTGGATTAAGAAGGCGCAGAAGAAGTACGTCTCTGAGAACGTAGCGCGCCAGTGGCAGGAGTATGACTTGAATCAAGATGGCTTCATCTCCTGGGAGGAGTACAGGAATGTCACCTATGGCACTTACCTGGGTAAGGGGCAAGGGGGGGCATAGCCTTGCTGGAAAGTATCAGTCGAGCCGAAAGGGGAAGGGGGGGGCCGGGGTTTGAAACGAGGCTGGGAGGGGGGGGCGGCGGGGGGGGGGGGGGGGGTCGAATGGGGTGGTGAAGCCTGCAGGGGTCAGGCTGGATGAACCCTTAGGGCCCCTTAGGAGCGAGGGAAGGTCATGCTGGGCCCGTCCTGGGCTCCCCACGCTTTCCTGCTCTGCCTTTTCAAGTCAAACGCAGAACTCCGGGAGTCAGACTTGAGGCCGGTTAGATTGCCTCTCAGGGGATAGCGAGGGGTCTGGACTGGATGGCCTCTTGAGGACCCCTTCCCAGCTCTAGGATCCTGCAAAGGGCTGAAGGAAGGGCCACGCTGGGCCTATCCCACACTTCCTGCTCTCCCTTTTCCAAGTCAAAGGCAGAACCGAGGCTGGTTAGATCGACCTCTCGGGGGATAGCGAGGGGGCTGGACTGGAGGACCTCTTGAGGACCCCTTCCCAGCTCTTGGATTCTGAAAAACGGCTGGGTCATGCTGGGCCTATCCCACATTTCCCTGCTCTCCCTTTTCCAAGGCAAAGGCAGAATTCTGGGAGTCAAACCGAGGCTGGATTGTCGCCTCTCGGAGATAGGATGGTGAGAGCCTGAAGGGGCTGGATTGGATGACCTCTTAGGGACCCTTCCCAGCTTTAGGACTATACAAAGGGCTGAGGGAGAGTCCCGATGGACCCACTTCCTGCTCCCCCTTTAAATTCGAACGCAGAACACCAGGAATCAAGCCGAGGCTGGGCAGTCACCTTTTCTGCGGGGTGATTTCAGGCATGGCTGGCCAGGGAACTCTGGGAGTTGAAGTCCACAGGCTTACAGTTAATTAGCATGCGAGCCTGGGAATTCTGGGAGTTGAAGTCCACAGGCTTTAAAAGTCCATTAGTATGTTATCCAGGGCATTCTGGGAGTTGAAGTGCACCGATCTTCAAGCATGGCTGGCCAGGGAACTCTGGGAGTTGAAGTCCACAGGCTTACAGTTCATTAGCATGCGAGCCAGGGAATTCTGGGAGTTGAAGTCCACGCATCTTCAAGCATGCCTTGCCAGGGAACTCTGGGAGTTGAAGTCCACAGGCTTTAAAAGTCCATTAGCATGTTATCCAGGGCATTCTGGGAGTTGCAGTGCACCGATCTTCAAGCATGGCTTGCCAGGGAATTCTGGGAGTTGAAGTCCACAGGCTTACAGTTCATTAGCATGCGAGCCAGGGAATTCTGGGAGTTGAAGTCCACGCATCTTCAAGCATGGCTTGCCAGGGAACTCTGGGAGTTGAAGTCCACAGGCTTTAAAAGTCCATTAGCATGTTATCCAGGGCATTCTGGGAGTTGCAGTCCACCCATCTTCCAATGGCAGAAGTTGGAAAACGCAGCCGTAGGGAGCATTTGTCTCCTTGCGTGCAGCTGCGAGCATCATTTTTAAGGCAAGCCTCTGCTTTCGATTTCATGAAGAGATTCGGGCAGTGGTTGCATTTCAGCCGGTCTCTGTTTGCTTCGCCTTGCTGATCGGCTGCCCTTGAGCCTAGCTGCACACTGTACATTTTATCACCGTGGGCAGATTAAAACCACATTCTTGGCCTGACTTTGGTGAGGTCACATAACCAGGGACGGCAAACGGCATGCACTCCGCAAGAAGCCGCCACCCTAAAGCAGATAAAACGTGGAAAGCAATTTTTCCAGTCTCAAAGGTGCTTTTTCAGGAGGCAACTGGACTCTCTAATTTCTTCATTTGAAGACGTCTCGCTTCTCGTCCAAAAAGCTTCTTCGGCTCCGACAGGATGGTGGGGAATGGAAGGATTGATATTCCTTGCAGACAGCTGGCAATTTGCATCCTTTTAGAGGGTCCTTGAAGCACTTGGTGGTTTATCTGTGTCCTCAGAGGTCACCCGAGTGGTGCAAAGGATTCTTGTAGTCTGCAATATTTTTTTTTTTTTTACCTCTGGAAATCCATTCCGGATCCCACACCATTCAAAGGCTGTTCATCCCAAATTGTATAGCTAAAATTCTGTAGAGATTCTCAGTCCTCCAGGTCACACTTGTCCCAAAGCAGGGGTGAAATGTAAAATTTGTTAATACCAGTTCTGTGGGCGTGGCTTGGTGGGGAGGGGTAATGTGACTGGGTGGGCATGGCCAATTTTTTTTTTTAAACTTTTCAAAGCATTTTTTCTAATGCTTTGAGAAGCCTCTGGCGATCAGGCAACTCGGCTGGGATCGTCAGAGACTTTTCAAAGCATTTTTTTTTACCACCTCTTCGGCCAAGAGGTTGCAGAAAAATATGCTTTGAAAAGCCTCTGATGATCCCAGCTGAGCCGCAGGATCATCAGAGGCTTTTTTCTTTACTTTTAAAAACAGTTTTTCGTTGGAAGAGGTTGTAGAAAAAATTCTTTTAAAAGTAAAAAAAACCAAAAAGCCTCTGATGATTGCATGGCTCAGCTGGGCATAGTGGGGAGGACGCAGGGATTTTTGCTACCGGTTCTTCGAACCAACTGCCACCATTGCTACCGGATCGGGCGATCTGGTCCAAACTGGGAGCATTTCACCTCTGTCCCAAAGGTGCTTTTTTCAAGAGGCAACTGGACTTTGTTTGTTTTTTTTCTTTGAAGACGTTTCGCTTCTCATCCAAGAAGCTTCTTTAGCTCTGGCTGGTTGGTGGGGAAAGGAAGGATTTGGGATGAACACCTTTTTTTTTTTTTTTAATTTGATTTATATGCCGCCCTTCTCCGAAGACTCAGGGCGGCTTACAATGTGCTCAGCAATAGCACATTTGAATGGTGTGGGAGTAGGAATGGATTTCCAGAGGAGGGGGAAAAAATTGCAGACTACAAGAACTATTTGCATCACTCCAGTGACCCTGAGGACACAGATAAAACCTCCCAAATGGCCTCAACGACCCTCTAAAAAGGATGCAAATGACCAAATGCTGTCTGCAAGGAATATCAATCCTTCCGTTCCCCACCATCCAGTCAGAGCTGAAGAAACTTGTTAAGGAATTCGCAGAGTAACCCTTGAGTAGCAAGGATTTGTACCTGAAAGCGATTGAGAGTAGTTACGAATAAACACAGCCAACACACAGATGCACTGAGTTGTGTTTACTTTCAGGAAATAGTAAGGCACAGTCCAATAAACAGTCCAGGTCATACACATATAAAGCAGGAGATAGCCAAAACGACAGTCCATGGATAAATCCAATAACAAAGTCTTCTTACCAGTCGTCGTAGTCATTCACAATAAACAGTTCTTCTGGATTTGCATGCAGAGCTATCAGAGAGCAAGAACATCAAAGAGAACAAACCATGTTTCTAGCTGCCTTTTAAGGAGATTGGCTACAGAGCTAACCAATCAGGACACAGTATGATGCAATACAGCAGTCTTAAAGCTATATTGAGGGTTTATATATTGCCAGCCCAACAAGTCAGGTAATGATCATTTCCTAACAAAGCTGCTCAGATGAGAAGCGAAACGTTTTCAAAAAACAAAAACCCAGAAAGTCCTGTTGCCTCCTGAAAAAGCACCTTTAGGACAACCACAGCCTGGATGGCTGAGAATCTCTACAGACATTTTTTTTTTCCAGATAAACCCCAAACCTTTGAAAATTGATCCTGGTTTCCCGGTTCCTAGAACGTTGAAGCTGGCAAAGCAGTCCCTCCGTTCGCGCGGCTGTACGGGTAGTCCTTGACTTAACGACGTCCTCGCCGTCGTTAAGTCGAGAACTGCCTGAATTTTGGGCTGGGGCTCGACGTGGGACGTGCCAACTTTTGAGCCCCTCTATATGGTCGAGCGGCGGTGTGTAGTGTAGTCGCCCTTCAGTAACCGAATCCCACCTCTGCCGTTTTAGACGATCCGGACCCCGACGATGGCTTCAATTACAAGCAGATGATGGTGAGGGATGAACGGCGCTTCAAAATGGCCGACCAGGACGGAGACCTGGTGGCAACCAAGGAGGAATTCACCGCTTTCTTGCACCCCGAAGAATATGACTACATGAAGGACATCGTCGTGCAGGTTGGTGGGCTGATCTCGTGACGCTTTAGAGCAGAGGTCTTCAAACTTGGCAGCTTTAAGACTTGTGGACTTCAACTCCCAGAATTCTCCAAGTTGAAGTCCACAAGTCTTAAAGCTGCCAAGTTTGAAGACCTCTGCTTTAGAGGCAGTCCTTGACTTATGACCCCAGTAGAGCCCCACATTTCTCGTCCGCTGAGCGAGAAATATGCTCAAAAGAGTTTTGCCCTGTTTTATGACTGGTTTAAGTGAATCACTGCAGTTGTCGAGCGAATCCGGTCCCCCCCCCCCACTCTTCCCCTTGACTTTGCTCATCAGATGGTCACAAAAAGAGATACTGCGGCCATAATAATAATAATAATTAATAATAATTTTATTTCTATACCGCCCTTCTCCCGAAGGACTCATAAATACGAGTCATCCAAGCATCCAAATTTTGCCGAGCATCCAAATTTTGATCGCGGGGATGCTGCAATGGTCGTTAAGTGTGAAAAATGGTCATAAGTTCCTTTTTTTTTCTCAGTGCCGTTCTAACTTTGAGCGGTCACTAAACGGGCTGTTGTAAGTCAAGGACTGTATTTATCGTTTGGTTTTGATTTATTGCACTTCCTGATGTTTCTGTGCTGCCCAATTCTGGAGGCAATTTGCTCCTGGTGTCCAAATGCGGCTCATAAAATCCGATCAACAGAGAATATTAAAAAGGGTAAACGTTAGGAGAAAAAATGATACAGATGATACCCCTGGTGAGTCTTAATCTCTACAGGAGTGGCCAAGATTGTGCAAACCTTTTGGGAAAAGTGTATTTTCTAAAACTAGCTAATAACACCACTTTTTTTTTGGAGTAGCACCATAAAATTATATATCAATGGAAAGATAATTGAATCAAGAATGTAATGCAATCACTTTTATGAAGGATTTGCTATTAGAATAGCAGTTACAGTATAAAGAAGAAAAGTGAAACACGTAGAAAAAAATGAGATATATACAAAAATTACCTCCATAGAAAAATGAGATATACAAAAATGATCCCCATGTCAGTTAATCCTTAGTTGGGTAACCTTTAGCATGAATTCATGGCCTTACAACCTCTTCCCATGGAGTGAACCAAGTCTTTTAGATCTGCACCTGTTATAATGTGAAACCAAGATGGAATGATGGCTTCTATTAACTGGGTTTTATTGCTGTGTCGCTTCTGACTAAGAAGTTTCTTTCTCGGCTCCATAGATTTTCAATTGGGTTAAAGTCTGGGCTATTCCTAACCTCTCCCATTCTCTTTTTAATGTAAATTTTAATGTAATTTTTAATTTGTTCTTAACCTGGGGTTTTAAATTTGTCTTGGGCTAAATTGATTTAAGTCGATTTTACTTCTCTTCTCTTAAATTTTTGCATTCTATGTGTTTTATCTTGTGCCCGTTCACCGCCCTGAGTCCTTCGGGAGTAGGGCGGTATATAAATCAAATAAAATGAAAAATATTCCCAGGCCATTCCAGCAGTGGAATAGGATTATCTTGGAACTTCAAAAAAAAAAAAAAGGGTTGTTATTAGCCATCAAACCTCAAAAATACACTTTTCCCAAAAGGTTCCCACAATTTTGGCCACTACTGTAGATTAAAAATTTGCCACGATATAAAAAAAAAAATGTTGAAGACTCTAGAAAGAGGGCAGAAAAGAGCAACCAAGAGGATTAGGGCAGTGGTCTCCAAACTTTGTTGCTTGGTGGTCTGGGGTGGGGAGAGGGGAATGCGACCACTGACACAAGAGAAGCCTTTGGGGTGCTGCTTGCGCGAGTGGAACTGCGCGCACCTACTGGCCTATCACTTGCGCGGCCGGGATCCGAATACGCCACTGCCTGGTAGTGGGCCCCGGCCCGGTAGGATTGTGGATCCCCTGGATTAGGGGGTTGGGGGCTGAAACATCTGGAGAACAGTTGCAATCTAGTTTAACGAAAAGGACTAAGGGGGGGACCTGATAGCAGCCTTTCCAGTATTTGAGGGGCTGCCCCAAAGACGAGGGGGTCAAAACGATTCTACAAAGCACCAGAAGGCAGGATTGCAGATTAGAGATGGAACAGAATTGGAAGGGACCTTCTAGGTCATCTAGTCCAACCTCCTGCCCAAGCAGGAGAGACCCTATACCGGATGGGAATTAATCAAGGAGAGATCTAAGCTAGAACCGAGAAGAAATTTTGGGCCAATCACCAGGTGGTGGTGAGTTCTAGTCCTGCCTTTGGCGTGCCAGCCGGCTGGGTGACTTTGAGCCAGCCAGTCCCTCTCTCTCAGTCCGACCCGCCTCGCAGGGTGGTGGTTGTGGGGAAAATAGGAAGGAGGAGTATTACAGAGAGGTTCACTGCCTTTAGTTATTGATAAAAATAACAATAAAAGTGGGAAATAAAATAAATAACGCTGCCCCTGGTTTTTTTCCCTACAGGAAACCATGGAGGATATCGATAAGAATGGAGACGGCTTCATTAATTTGGAGGAATACATAGGTGAGTCGTGGCCAGATCCTGCCGTGGTCCCCAGTTGTTAAACCCCAGGAAGACTCGGGCCGGGGGTCCCCTCATGAAACATTTGGAAATGTCCTGGGTTGGCACCCAACTGAAGGATAAATGGCTACGGATATAGTCCTCGACTTACGACAGTTCATTTAGTGACCAAAGTTATACCGGCGCTGAAAAAAAGGGACTTGGGACCTTTTCCCCCCCACTTAACGACCGTCGCAGCATCCTCGTGATCACGTGATCAAAATTCGGCCGCGTGGCCGCTGACTTAAATTTACGACGGTCATATATGGTTCCCTTCTGCGACCTTCCCACAAGGAGAGTCGACGGGGAAGCCAGCTTCGCTTAACAGCCACGTTACTCACTTAAGGGCCGCTGCGATTCGCTTAACCCTTGCGGCGAGGCAGGTCGTAAAATGGGACCCTTAGCAATAGCATTTAGGCTTATGTACCTCCTTTTTCAGCGCCCTACGAGCGGTTTAAAAAGTGCGTCCTTTGCATATCGGCCCCCAACAATTTGAATCCACTAAAACGGCCGTCTCGCTTAGCGACAGGAATATTGGGCTCAAATTTGGCCGTAAGTCGAGGACCACTTGCGCTGTGCAGTTCGGCGCACAGGGCCCGACGGTTAGAATTGAGACCCTCCCGGCGTTCCCTCTCCGCAGGTGACATGTACAGCCACGACGGCAACACGGAGGAACCCGAGTGGGTCAAAACGGAACGGGAACAATTCATGGAGTTCCGGGACAAGAACCACGACGGGAAGATGGACAAGGAAGAGACCAAAGACTGGATCCTGCCCTCCGATTACGACCACGCCGAGGCCGAAGCGCGGCACCTGGTTTACGAGTCGGATAAGGACAAGGTGAGAGGGCTTCCTCCTGGGGCAGGGGTCGGCAACCTTAAGCCCTCAAAAGAGCCACCACCCGGGAGTCGGCAACCTAGAAAGTCCCAGTTGCCACGAGAATCTCCATAGACTTTCTTGCAAGACGTTTCATGACCCAGCTAGAGAACGTGATCGGTGCTAGAGGGGGGAATGGGATTTGTGGGGAGGAGAAAGAGGAGGAAGGAAGGGGAGGGGCGGAGGAGGACTATGGGGTTTTCTTGCAGATGTTTCGTGACCCAAGTAGGTGCTAGAAGGGAGCGGGTTTGTATAGATGAGGAGGAGAAGGAAAAACGAGGAAGAGAAGGAGAAGGAATGAAGGGGAGGAAAGAAGGAAGGAGAAGAGGAGGAGAAAGAAAAGGAATGAAGGGGAGGAAAGAAGGAAGGAGAAGAGGAAGAGAAAGAAGGAATGAAGGGGAGGAAAGAAGGAAGGAAGAGGAGGAAAAAGAGAAGGAGAAGGAATGAAGGGGAGGAAAGGAAGGAGAAGAGGAAGAAGAGAAGGAGAAGGAAAGAAGGGGAGGAAAGAAGGAAGGAGAAGAGGAAGAGAAGGAGAAGGAATGAAGGGGAGGAAAGAAGGAAGGAGAAGAGGAAGAAGAAGGAGAAGGAATGAAGGGGAGGAAAGAAGGAAGGAGAAGAGGAAGAGAAAGAAGGAATGAAGGGGAGGAAGAAGAGAAGGAGAAGGAATGAAGGAGGAAAGGAAGGAGAAGAGGAAGAAGAGAAGGAGAAGGAAAGAAGGAGAGGAAAGAAGGAAAGAACAGGAGGAGGAAGAGAGGGAGAAGGAATGAAGGGGAGGAAAGAAGGAAGGAGAGGAGGAAGAGAAGGAGAAGAGGAAGAAGGAGAAGAGGAGGAAGAGAAGGAAAAGGAATGAAGGGGAGGAAAGAAGGAAGGAGAAGAGGAAGAGAAGGAGAAGGAATGAAGGGGAGGAAAGAAGGAAGGAGAAGAGGAAGAGAAGGAGAAGGAATGAAGGGGAGGAAAGAAGGAAGGAGAAGAGAAGAAGGAAGAGAAGGAGAAGAGGCCGAAGGAATGAAGGGATGGAAAGGAGAGGGAGGAGTGGAACAAGGAAGCGGAAGGAATGAAGGAGAGGAAGGAAAGAACGGGGGTGGGGAGAAACAGAAGGAGGAGGACTCCCTGAGCATGGTGCTTTTCTCGCAGACGTTTCATCACCCAGCTAGGGAACACTATCAGTGCTAAACGGAGGCAGGGTTTGTAGAGGAGGAGGACTGGTGGGGTCCTGAGTGTTCTCTGAAATTGGTTGCTTTTTTCGCAGACGTTTCATGACCCCACTAGGTAACGCCATCAGGTTCTACCCCGGTTGTTTCACCTTTGCCTTTCCTTTCCTTTCCCAGGACGGCAAGCTCACCCGAGAAGAAATTGTGGACAAGTACGACCTGTTTGTGGGCAGCCAGGCCACGGACTTCGGGGAAGCTTTAGTACGGCACGACGAATTCTGAACCACCAGTCTCCTTTTTTTTAAAGGAAGAAGTGTTTTTCGGGGTGGGGCGGGGAGTGTCGTTTTTACCGTTTCAGGATTAACACAAGAAAGGCTCACTATCAAGACTCCGTTTCAGCCGAGAATTTGGAGAGGGGGAGGGAGGAGAACCGGCCACCCCCTCCCCAATTGATCCCATCCTCCTTGCTTCCCCTCCCCTCCCCTCCCTTGACTTCCCTCCCTTCCAAGGTGGGAGGTCGGTATTCTGAGAGATCACGGTTCTGGTTGAAACCCCAAAAGTTTTTCCTTTTTGGTTTTTTTAAATAGATTTGCATGTTCTTTTTATGTCTAACAAGTTCAGTTTTATTTTTGTATTTTATTTTTTTTTGGTTCCGTGTGAAAAGAAGAACGCATTAAGCCAATTGGGGGGGGGCACAGCCCTGTCCCCCACTTTTTTTTTTTTAAAGAGTCAGGTTTTTTTTAAAAAAAATCCACAAAGTCAGAAAGCCGGAGAACAAGACACAGCCGAGAGGGGTGAGATCTACACTCAAAAGACCTCCCCCCACATGTTTTTTCATCTTCCAAGAAGCCGACAAGAGAATTTGGGGAGGGGGGCGGCGTTTAGCTTCTCTGCCTCCGGGCGGGAGGTTCCCCCCCGCCTCGAAGGCTGCAAAAAATCTCGACTTTAAAAATATCTGGCGTCTCCTTCGCTTACGACATCCGAAGATCCTCCGGAGTGCTGCCCCCCCGTGCCTCAGTTTCCCCAGCATCCTTCAAACGGCATCCTTTGCAAGAGCTGTGCGGTCGGCGATGGTGCGAGCCACGGGTTCAGGATTTCACCCGGGACTCTTCGTTAAATAATATTCAAGCTTTGGTGATCTCTGCTTGGTGTCCGCTCCGGGCTTAAAAAACAGGAGATGTCGAAGAGGCGAGGTTGAATTGGGTCCGTCCCGGGTCGAAGTAGCCAGCCGAGCTTCTCCTCCCAGACCGTCATTTGTTAATGTAGAGTAGGGGGCAAACCCTCAATTGGGTCTTTAGAAGGAGAAAAGGGGGGGCGACGGGCAGCTTTAAGGGCGATGGGATATTCTGCATTTTTGAAGTGCCTTTTTTGTTAAAAAGCAGTTGGCCCAAGGAATCCAGGCCCAAACTTACTCCTAAAACAAATGCAGAAATTTAACACACCTCTCTTCCTTCTGTGTTTTCTGCCAGCCACGTGGCCCACGGGGAAGGGGTGGGCGAATACGAAGAGACCCCCCCCATCAGACCCCTAATCTGTCCGGGTAAATCCTTCCCCTCGCCGGAGAAGTCAAATCTGGCCCTCTCTCCCGTGCTTTGATTTTTGGAAACGACCCCATCTCATTTCCCCATATTTGCCAAGAGAAATAAATTATCTTGATGTTACGGCCACCTTTCCTTAAACTCCCCCCCCCCCCCACTTCCCCCAAAATTGGGGGCAGGTTTGTCGAGATTGCCGCTTCACAAGTCTGTGGATTTGCGGGGGGGTTCGTTTCGGCCGGGGGCTCTTCGCTGAATTCAAAATCCGTTCCTTTCCCGAACGGGCAGCTCCTCCTGAGCCTTTTGCAAATGAAAGGATGCTATTTTTTTTTTCCTCCCCGCCCTGCAAAATTCGAGGGTGAACATTTTGCCAGGTGCACAAGCAAACTTTGCTTTCCTACCTGGCTTCCTAACACTAATTGTGAATTTCTTAGCAAGGTTTTCCTGAGTGTGGGAGCAAACCTGATAGCCAAAAGTAGAAACTTGAAACAGTATTATTTCCGTGGTCATTTTTAATCCCCTTAGTGCAGTGTTTCTCAACCTTGGAAGCTTGAAGATGGGTGGACTTCAACTCCCAGAATCCCCCAGCCAGCAGCGCTGGCTGGGGGATTCTGGGAGTTGAAGTCCGCCCATCTTCAAGCTTCCAAGGTTGAGAAACACTGCCTTAGTGCAATGGGAAGGAAGAGATTCGTTTTGATAACACTAAAAGGCCAGCCACGGATTTGCCACTAGTGCGTGGCACTTGGCTAGCAACTCACCAGCACGCGGCATCGTCTCGGATGGCCGTTGGCTGCATCTTTTTCAGGGAAGCAGGTGAGAGGCTGAAGCAGAGCAGGAAATCAGGTGAAACAGTAGCCCTGCCAGGTGTTTTCTCTACCTGGAAGGTGCCCCTTGATAGAGATCCTGGCTTCTCGTGGTCGTTTTATTTTTGCAATCGTGGCTCAGAGCGCCTGATGAAACTCGGTTTAGCAAATTTGCATGGCTTGTGAAAAGGGCCCGTTACTACTCCAGAGGGGGTTAAGCTCAGCTTTGAAAAGTGAAGAACCTCCCCCCCCAATCTGGGTTTCAGTGCCGGTGGTGAAAGGAAGGAAGGAAAAGAGAGAAGGAAAGAGAAAAAGAAAGAGAAAATACTTCCCTCTCTCTCCATCCCAATTCTTCATCGCCAATCTTTGAGAAGGCTTTTCTTATACAGCATCCGTGGAGTTTTATATAATGTACAACACACAAATGGTGTCTTAATAAAACTGTTTACATCCTCGTTGCGTTGTGTGGTTTGCTGCTCAGGTGTGTGCGAGCTGGATATCTGGACAGCTGATTCGTGGGTGGACAGAAAGGTCCCATCCTGTTCAGCTCCAGTTTTATTTCCACAGGGGGGGTCAGTTAAGTACTTGTTGGCAGGAGAGAAAGGGAAAATCTCGCCCACCCATGGATCTTTCCCAACAATTGGGGTTTAGAGACATTGGACAATGGTTGTGTGCCATCGGGGAATCTTCTAAAGCAGAGGTCTCCAACCATGGCAACTTTAAGACTTGTGGACTTCAATTCCCAGAATTCCTCAGCCGGCTTTGCTTGTGGACTTCAATTGCCAGGATTCTGGGAGTTGAAGTCCGCAGGTCTTAAAAGTTGCCAAGGTTGGAGACCCCTGTTCTAAAAGCCTGGTCACTTTTTAGATAGGTGGACTTCCAACTCCCAGAATTCCTCAGCCAGCCTTCCTGGCTGGGGAATTGTGAGATTTGAAGTCCACACGTCTTAAACTGGCCACAGTTGAGAAACACGAGTATGGAATCGATTCCAGGCACAGGAGAAAACCACGCGGGGCCAGCTTTGCAGAGCGGATTTCTAGGGCTGTGGAAACAGCTGTGGCTGTGCCCATTTGGGGCTCATGAGCCATCACTTCTCTGCTCCTAATTAAAGCAGCCACATTGTCTCTCCCTCTTTCTCTCTTCCCACCCATTTTTGCACCCAAGTCTGGAAAAAAGGACACAACTGCTTTAAACGGTTAATTAAAGCCTCTCCCTCCCTCTCTCCCTCTCCCCCCAAACTATTTTTGCACCCAAGTCTGAAAAAGAGACATGGCTGCTTTAAATGGTTCATTAAAGCGTCTCTCTCTCTCTCTCTCTCTCTCCATCTCTCTCTCTCTCCGTCTCTCCGTCTCTCTCTCTCTCTCCCCCTTTCTCTCTTCCCAACCATTTTTGCACCCAAGTCTGAAAAACAAGGACACGGCTGCTTTGAACAGTTGGTTCATTAAAGCCTCTCTCTCTCTCTCCCCCCTTTCTCTCTTCCCAACCATTTTTGCACCCAAGTCTGAAAAAAACAAGGACACGGCTGCTTTGAACAGTTGGTTCATTAAAGCCTCTCTCTCTCTCCCCCCTTTCTCTCTTCCCAACCATTTTTGCACCCAAGTCTGAAAAAACAAGGACACGGCTGCTTTGAACAGTTGGTTCATTAAAGCCACTCCAAGCAACAGCATTCTTAACAGGGGCTTGAGGAAATATGGGCTTGCTTGTCCAAGCTGTTTGTGAGAGTCCTAAAAGTTCCGTTTCCTTCCAGAAGGTTCGGCGGATGATCGCAACTGCTCTCCCCAAATCAGTGCCTTGCACCGGATCCCTTGAACTTGATTTATTGTGGCCATGGCTTGCTCCAAATTCTAAGAAAAGGATATGGGCGGTGGAGAGAGACGCGGTCCTAATATTCACACCAGCTTTGTGCATTAAAAAAACAACAACAAAGGGTTTCAGGTCCATCCTTTCCAAAAACTTCTGCTGAAACTTGGCCATCCGAAAGAGACAAGCGAGGGGAGTCTGGATGCATCGGAGCCGGGTGCGGTTCTAGCCATGGTTTCAACAGATTATAAGACCTAGGCTGCAGCTCTGCACTGCTTGCAAGAGAAGGGGTAGGAGAGTGCTGGGTAAATTACCCTAAATGGGGTAAAAGTAGGTTTTCCCACTGGGTAACAGCTCACAAGGCTATGACCCGATCGCAACGGGAACATTTAGCCCTGATAATGTTACCTACTTGGGTAATGAAACGTCTGCAAGAAAACAACTAAGCTCAGAGAGCGCCAAGGAGCCCACAGTTCTCTTCCTCTTCCTCTTCCTCCTTTTGTTTCTCCTTCTCCTTCCTCTCCCCCTCCTCTTCCTCCTCCTTTCCATAAGCCCCATTCCCTTCTGGCACCAATGATGTTACCATAAATTACCCCAAATTAGATAAAAGTGAATTTTCCCTCTGGGTAACAGCTCACAAGGCTATGACCCGATGGCAACAGGAACATTTAGCCCTGATAATGTTACCTACTTGGGTAATGAAACGTCTGCAAGAAAACAACTAAATTCAGAGAGCACAGAGGACCTCACAGTCCTCCTCCTCCTCCTCCTCCTTTCTCATCCTGATGATGTTACCTAGTTGGGTCCTGAAACATTTGCAAGAAAACCACCAAACTCCAAGGGCATTTGACGGGTAGAATCAACTTTCGGATAGGGAGTTTGGGTAACGAAGGAAAAAGTTTGGGGGAGCTTTTTAGGTTCAAAAATCATCTGGAAACGTGCAGCTCCTCTTGAGAAGGCGCCAAACTCTCTTCGTCCACTCTAAACGGAGCCCTGGAGTGGGGCTGTTGGAAGAAAATGTTTTGTGTGTGTGTGTGTGAGTGTGTGTTTTAAAAGAAGTGTGTTTTGTGGGACAGTGGGGTGGGGAGAGGGTCTCTTTTCTTGGCATAGTCATCGTCTTGGTTGCGTTCCAACGTGCAGAGTGGCTTCTGGGCCTGGCCTTGGTGGGCTTCTCAGCTCTTGGGGCTGACTTGACTGGAGGACACGGAGGAAACCTCCGTCTTCTGAGAGACCACGTCAGAGTCGTCCGTCATAGGTTTGCCGCACACCGTTTCCATGATGCAGGCACGGAACTGGGAAGGGAGGAGACAGGAGTTTTATGACTGCCCGGGAATTGCCCGAGAAGGTCTTATAGAATACAGAATAACAGAGTTGGAAGGGACCTTGGAGGTCTTCTAGTCCAACCCACTGCTCAAGCAGGAGATCCTATATATCCATAATGGTGAACCACAGGTGGCACGCATAGCCATATCAGTGGACATGCAAGCTCAGCTCCGGTACATATGTGTGGACTGACCAGCTGCTTTTCGGGCCTTCTGGGCCCAATAGAAGTAGGAATACAGGCGGTTTCCTGCCTCTGGAGGACCTCGGGGGGTGGTGGGGAAGGCCTGTTTTTTGCTGTCCCCAGCCTCCAGAGCCTCTCTAGGAGTCTGGGGAGGGCGAAAACGGCCTTCCCCACCCCTCCGGAGGTCCTCTGGAGGCAGAAAATAGCCCGTTTGTCAACTTCCGGTGGGACCAGAAGGTCTGTTTTTTGTTGTCCCCACTGGAAGTTGGCAAACGGGCCGTTTCTGGTCTTCGGGAGGCCTCCAGGGGTGTGTGGGGAAGGCCGTTTTCACCCTCCCCAGACTCCTAGAGCGGCTCTGGAGGCTGGGGACAGCAAAAAACGGGCTTACCAGGCCATCGCATGCCAGGAGCGGGGAGGTGCGGTGGGTGGGTGGGAGCGGGGCAGGAAGGAGTGGGACCAGAAAATCCAGTAGCCTCGTGAAAATGCACCTTTGGGACATCCATTCTTTCTCGTTCTACTTTCAAGTGGTTTGGAGAACAGGTTGACCCCCAAAGTTGTCAGACGTAGCCTCCGCTCACTGTACACCAGAGGTGTCCAACCTTGGCAAGTTTAAGACTTGCGTTCTTCAACTTGAAGTCCACACATCTTAAAGTTGTGAAGGTTGGACAACTTACTACAGACTAACAAAGAGGGTACCTGGAAAACCGGCCCTGTCTGACCTCACCTGCCTTCTCTGACCCAGAGCCCAGAGCCCAGGGGTACTTGTCCAAAAAGTCTTCCTGGAATTCACACGAAATGTTCTGCCCACATTTAGCAGACAGATCCACACAGACCATGATGAACCTCGTTTCAGTAGCTGTGTTCCGACAACCATAAATCAAGGTTGCAAACACTGCCTGGAGTCATGCAACGCCTGTTGCGGGTCAATATGATGGACCTTCATTTAGAGGTGCCTGCAGGACATGGCCCAAATAGTCAAGAGATCTCCGGTGATGGTGCCTGCTTTCTATGATGGCCACCATATTGATTATTCTTTAACCATGAACTGCGTTCATCGTGGTCTTCCTACTTTCCTTCCACAAATGGTTGTATAATTTTGCTCGTTCAGCCCCACCTCCGCATGACCACGTCCCTGTTCCTTCACCCAGGGCTCCAGTTCTTCACTCGGTTGGCCCTGTTTCTTGAGTGCTAAACCTACTTATGATGGGGGAGTCCATGACCACCCCTAAACATTTGTGGTAAACTTCTTCGGTATCTGCCACCGCAAAAGTTGATCAGATAAACTGTTCTCTTCCATCCCTTCCTTGCTCCAAGTGAGATACTTGTTGTAGGGGGGAAAGTGGCAGAATCTGGGGGAAAGGAGTCAAAGGAGGCATCAGCCTAGAATCCTTACGTAGTCACAAGTGGTTTAAGTCCAACCTCCCTTGAATTCCACTGACCCTTATCTAATTCCTAGCAGCTGCAAACTGTTTGTTGAGAAGATTCCTGTGCCTAGGCTTTTAGCAATAAAACATGTTAAGATATTAAATTTAGTAGCTGGAACAATAAAGTGTACAATGGGCCAGAACACACAGTTGTAGTTGATTGGCTGGAGAGTGCTGGCTCTTGCATGAGGTAATATGCACTGTGATTGGTTGCTGTGGGTGTAAAGGGGGAGTTTCCCTTTTTCCCGCCTTTTTCTTCTGTCTGCTCTGCATGCTGTTTAGATTTACCTCACGATGTTCAATGTCCCTGATTATCTTGTCTGCTCATGCATGAGGCAATCTGCCCTGCAATTGGTTGCTGTGGGTATAAAGGAGGAGTGTCCCTATTTTCCCGCCTTTTTCTTCTTCTGTGTGCTTGGTATACTGTCTGAAGATTTACCTCAGGATGTTCCTGACTCTCTTGTCTGCTGAAAGTATAAATGTGAAATATATTTATTTGCATAAAACTCGATCTTCGTGTCAGCGTCTCTGACTTCATGTGGACATCGGCTGGACAATTCCTTGACAAAGCAGTTTCATTGGACCTTCACGCGTCAACCTGGCCTTTTTGCACCTGACACACTCACCTGCTTGTTCATGAAGCAGTAGATGATGGGGTTGTAGACGCAGGAGCTCTTGGAGAAGAAGGCAGGGATGGTGACCAAGCGCAGGTCGAGGCCGTGCTGAGGGTTGTTCACCATGTACATGGCCAGGGCGGCGTACGGAACGTAGCAGGTGCAGAAGGATCCCACCATCACCACCACCATGCGGGAGACTTCTCGCTCGGCCTTCTGGGTGGTGGCCGACTCTTGCTGCTGAGCGGCTACCTGTGGACAGAAGAGTTGTGACATTTTACAGCACTGATAAGATGACCTAGTTGGGTCATGAAACGTTGGCAAGAAAACTGCCATCACCAAGGACCCACAGTTCTTTTTCTTTCCTCCTCCTCCTCCTCCTCCTCCTCCTCCTCCTCCTCTTCACAAATCCCACTCCCTTCTAGCATTGATGATGTTCTCTAATAGGGTCATGAAATGTCTGCAAGAAAATAATCAAGTTCAGAAAGCATCAAGGACCCCACAGTTGTCCCCCTCCCCCTCCCCTTCTTTTCTGCAAACCCCACTCCTTCCTAGTACTGATAATGTTCTCTAGTTGGGCCATGAAACATCTGCAAGAAAACAACCAAGCTCAGACATCAAATCCCAGTCCTCCTTCTCCTCATATTGAGATTGATTATAACATAAACTACAATGAAAAGAAAGATTGAGATAAAAAAGAAGGGCAGTTCAGGATGTTAAAAAAAGAAGAAGAAAAAAGGTATTGACTTCCAACTCTTTCCGACACAATAAACTACTAACACATTGACAGTCTGAACTTTCTGGATGATATTGAGTTATTGCAAGTCATGTCTACAATGGGCCTCCTCATAATCTTGAATACAAGCTCTGGAGCTCATCTTCCAGAAGACCGTAAATCCATGCAGGCAGTCCTCGATTTACAACCGTTAATTTAGTGACACTTCAAAGTTACAACGGCGTTGAGAAAAGTGACTTACAGCTGTTTTTCACACTTACGACCCTTGTAGCTTCCTCATAGTCATGTGATCAAAATTCAAACATATTTATGACGGTTGCAGTGTCCCGGGACCACGTGATCACTTTTTGTGACTTTCTGACAAGCAAAGTCAATAAGGATTTACTTAACAACCGGGTTACTAACTTATCAACGGCAGTAATTCGCTTAACGCCTGAGGCTAGGAAGGTCATAAAATCGGGTGAAGCAGACTTAACAATGGTCTTATTTAGCAAAGGAAATTTTGGGCTCCACTGTGGTCGTAAGTCGAGGACTACCTGTAATCCAGACAGGGCATTCATGACTTACCGCCCGGAGGGCACCCAGGAGCCGCGCGTAGGAGTAGATGATGATGGTGAGCGGTATGAGGAAGCAGAAGACGAAGAGGAACCACGAGTAATACTCGCTCTTGTATTTGGTACCCACCGTGTACCAGTCGGGACCGCAAGAACACTGCAGCCCTTCTGGGAGGAACCTGTAAAACGGAAAAACATTGCCAGGCATATAAATTGCAATAAAATAAATAAAAATAAAAATAAAATAAATAATAGGCTCCTAGGGCTGGAAGGGACCTTGGAGGTCTTCTAGTCCAACCCCCAAGGCAGGAGTGCTTATACCATCCCAAACAAATGATTTTTGATTTGGAATAGAGCTGGAAGGGACCTTGAAGTTCTTCTAGTCCAGCCCTCTGCTCAAGCAGGAGATCTTTAACCATTCCAGACAGATGGTTATCCAATCTCTTCTTAAATAATTCCAGTGTTGGAGCACAACTTCTGGAGGCAACCCGTTCTACAGTGTTGTGGCCCGTACGCAGCCTGTGCGGCTGGTGGCTGATTCCGACAGCGAGGAGGCTGGTGTGGTGCTGCGCCAGCAGCCTGTGCAGCTGGCACTTGAGTCAGACAATGAGGAGGCTGGAGAAGATGTGGTGCCAGAGTCGGGGATTCAGCCAGGGCCTTCAGAACCTCCAGAAGCTCCCATAAGTGAAGAGGACAAAGTGGAGGAGCCTCATCTCGATACACAGGCGCGCAGAGCGACCAAAAGGCAGGAGTGGCTCCTCAGGAGGAGGTCTCCTCGAGAGTAGGGCTTGGGGCTAATTGGCCACTCCCTTAGCCTATTTAAGGAGGAACACCGACTGAAGCAATTTGCAGGGAACAACTTCATTCACTCTCCTTCATGCCTTGACCTCTGCAAATTGCTTCTGGGCTTTCTGCCAACCATAGTAAGATTATGATTATTTATTCTTTGGGTTCTTGTAGGCTGTTAAGAAAGTTAATTAACAGCGTTTGTTTGAAAAAAAAAACTGTTTAATTTAGTAAACCTTTAGTAAACTAAGGTTTGTACAGACTTTGTGTGAGTGGCGTAGGAGGCTAATGCCTCCTAAGGCAGCATTTAACATCCAGCTGCCTGCAATTACTGCGAGTTCAATTCTCACCAGGCTCAAGGTCGACTCAGCCTTCCATCCTTTCTAAGGTGGGTAAATTGAGGACCCAGTTTGTGGGGGCAGTAAGCTGACTTTGTATAAATATACGAAAGTATGAAGGCTATTACTTAACGCACTGTAATCCACCCTGAGTCTCCGGAGAAGGGCGGCATATAAATCAAATTAAAAAAAAAAATTCTGTACAAACCTTAATTTACTAAATTAAATCAGTCTTTTTCAAACAAAGGCTGTTAATTAACTTTCTTAACAGCCTGCAAGAATAAAAATAAATAAATAATCGTAATCTTACTATGGTTGGCAGAAAGCCCAGAAGCAATTTGCAGGAAACTGATAAGAGAACTAAGATTAGGACGAGAAGGAGAGTGAACGAAGTTGTTCCCTGCAAATTGCCTCAGTCGGCGTCCTTCCTAAAATAGGCTAAGGGAGTGGCCAATTAACCCCAAGCCTTACTCTCGAGGAGACCTCCTCCTGAGGAGCCACTCCTGCCTTTTTGGCAGCTCTGTCCACCCATGCATCGAGAAGAGGCTCCTCCTCTTCTTCCTCTTCACTTATGGGAGGTTCTGAAGGCCCTGGCTGAATCCCCGCCTCTGGCACCACATCTTCTCCAGCCTCCTCACTGTCCGACTTGAGTGCCAGCTGCACAGGCTGCTGGCGCAGCACCACACCAGCCTCCTCGCTGTCCGAATCAGCTACTAGCTGCACAGGCCGCTGACGGGCCACACCACTAGGGTTGTACAATGCTAATTTTGAATATACATAAAAGTCACAAAATCCTAGAGTTGGAAGGAACGTTAGAAGTCTTCAAATTCACCTCCCTCCTCAAAGTCCTTGTACCACCTCGGACAAATGGTTGTCCGCTCTTTTCTTGAAGACCTCCAGTGATGAAGCACCCACAACTACAGGAGGCAAGCTATTCAGTTGATTAATATTTCTCACTGTCAGGAAATTCCTTCTTATTTCTAGGTTACATCTCTCTTTAACTATCTTCCTCCCATTGCTTCTTGTCTCACCCATGGATGCAACCCCCATCTTCCGCGACGGCCCCTCAACTACCGAAAGGCGGCTATCGTGTGCCCGCTAAGCCTTCTCTGCCCTAGGCTAAACCTACCTAGTTCGCGTAGCTTGTTCATGATATGATTTCATCATATTCGTTCAGGCAAGAATATGAAGAGAATCACAGAATCCTAGAGGTCCTCTAGTCCAACCCCCTGCCCAAGGCAGGAATCCGGACACCACCCCGGACCAATTTTTTTTTCTCCTTCCAGTGAGGTAGGAGAAACTACTTCCAGTAGTTTCATCGACTTCCAGTGATGTAGGAGAAACTACTCTGGTTCCTCTCTGTGCCCATCAAACCTGCTCCAGCCGAAGAAGGGGGGGACGGAGACCCCGATTCCAATGATCCACGTGGCTGCCACCACTACCACAGCATGTTTGGAGTTGAAACGGAAATTCCCCAGCGGCTTGCAGATCACGATGTAGCGTTCGAAGGCGAGGAAGGCCAAGGACCAGCCGGTGACCAGACCTGGAGACAACGGACAAACAGACAGACAGACAGGCATGGATGGGGAGGGGGGATTTAGAAGTGGACAATTACAGGAGCTCAGAATATAACCCCCCCCAACTCTCAAATTACGCCCTCAACTCTCCATCTCCATCCTTATCTTCAGGGCAGTGTTACTCAGTGTTGGCCCCTTGAAGAGGGGTGGACTTCAGCTCCCAGAATTCCCCAGCTGGCTTGCTTTAAGGCATATGGAGTGTATTGATGGGCTCCTGCACTATCAGATGTCCTATAGTTAATACATTCTGATCTGAGGGACAATAACTACTTCAAATCCACTCATATTGAGGTCTCCAAACTTGGCAACTTTATGACTTGTGGACTTCAACTCCCAGAACTCCCCAGCAGGGGAATTCTGGGAGTTGAAGTCCACAAGTCTTAAATTGGCCATGTTTAATGACCCCTGCATTATAATGTTCACATGGGTTTTTTCACCCAATGTTCAAGAAGGGTTGGATAACCTCCAATTTAATTTAATTTAATTTAATTTAATTTAATTTAATTTAATTTAATTTAATTTAATTTAATTTAATTTAATTTTAATTTAATTTAATTTAATTTAATTTATTTATTTAATTTAATTTAATTTAATTTAATTTAATTTAATTTAATTTAATTAATTCAATTTATGTGCCGCCCCTCTCCGAAGACTAGGTCCACCTCAAACGTCCTAGATTACAACTTCCATCACTTGACTGGATCTGAAGGACACCACAGGTTGTTCCATCTGAAGATCATCAGTCTTGATGGCTGATGGCTGCTTTATGGAAAATCCACTCAACCATTGTTCCTCAACCTGTTTTTTGTTTTTTTTTAAGAGGGGTGGACTTCAGCTCCCAGGATTCCACTGCCAGCTTGCTTTAAGAGATGTGGTCCTCGGTGCCGATTGGAGAATTCTGGGAGTTGGAGTCTACACCTTTTAATGGGGTCAAGATTGAGAAATACTGCCCTGAACATTCAACGAAACTGGGACTTCAACTCCCAGGATTCTCCAGCTAGCCCTGACGGCCGCACCTCTTAAAACAAGTGGCTGGGGACTTCTGGGAGTTGAAGTCCACCCCGCTTAAAATGACCAAGGCTGAGAGCAGCACCCACTTACGGGAAATCCACCTGTTACTTTCCCAGTCCTTGTATTTACCTGCTACCGTGCCTAGGAAGGCCTCCAACTTGCAGACCTGACGACCCAAGAAGAAGTAACCTTGGATGCTGGACAGGAAGACCACAAAAACCGCAAAGACACAGAAGATAAGTCCGGCCAAGGAGATGTTGACCAAGATGTAGTTGAGCGGCTGCCTCAACTTCTTGTACTTGATGGTGACGAAGAGGATGATGGCGTTGAGGGGCGTCCCGGCAAAGAAGACCAGGCCCATGAAGATGGTTTGGAAGTGGAAGGCCCACATGGGCGCGATATGATATTGGGGACCATCCCAAGGCTTCACGGAGGAGATGTTTTCATAGAGGTATAATTCGTCTTCTTCGGACATCCTCCCAAGCACAGGACACCAGTGTGGACCCTTCCAGAAGACTTCTCCTCTCCTATTATAGGACGACACCCATGGAGGACAAAGTCCACTTAATGGCTCAAGATGGGATCAGCTGCTAATCCTGATCATCCGAGATGCAAACTTGGGGATTAGGGATGTATAAGAATCCGGCCTTCTGTTCCATAAACCTCCCGAGAAAGTAATCTCATTTGTGGACTAGCTGCAAGATCTTGAGATCTTAGAGGACAAATACGGGTAAGACCATAAGACAGAAACTGTCCTTCTCAGCTTCTCCTCAGCTTCTCTCAGGTGGAGTCAACTCCACCTTAGCTATCGTTCTGACCGAATCTTGGTTTCTCTCTATCCAACCAATGGACTCATCATCGCTCCGTTGAGTTGGGCTTCCACAATTTGGTGGCCATCAAGAAGGGGAACGTTTCCTGTATTGTTTTCATGTTCTGGAATGACTTTGGAAGGCCAGTTGGATATTCCTACATTTGATGAGACTAAACTTCTGGTTAACGGACCAAGATAAAGTGGTTGAGAGGAGCTGGGTCTTGATCATCATTGGCCCAACAAGGTGTCCAATGGCTTAGCCCAATAAACACCATCACCTCAGTCCCAAGTAGCATAATGAGGGTTAGAATAGTGTTTCTCAGCCATGGCTACTTGAAGATGGGTGGACTTCAACTCCCAGAATTCCCCAGCCAGCAAAGCTGGCTGGGGAATTCTGGGAGTTGAAGTCCACCCATCTTCAAGTAACCAAGGTTGAGAAACAACAGGTTAGAGAGTGAAACCTGGTTCTGATTGACAATGATGGATTCTTGAACATTGCTCCAGGTAGTCCTTGACTTACAACCATTCATTTAGTGACCGTTCGGAGTTACATCGAGACTGAAAAAAGTA